CTGTACGGCATCTCCCTGCATCAGAACGTCCCCATGCTGCCCCTGTCCGAGCCCAATGCGGTCGGCCTCGTCATCGCTCACGGTGCGAACCACCAGCCGCAGCCCGCGAGGGCAAGTGGGGCTATGGGGGCGGGCAGGAGGGGCTCTCAGGATCCAGGCATTGGGGGGAGGTGACAGGGTTAATCCATTGGGGCGAGTGGCTGGGTCCTGCTGAGCCAGGCTGAGCCGGCAGGGGAAGGCCAGAGGGCAACGTCTGTCTGTCTGTCCGGCGGAAGGGGCACTGTCTGGACTTGCTCTGACCCATGCGGTGTGGGGCTCTGTTGCAGGCAGCGTGGGGGATGCCATCTTCACCGCGACCCCCGACGTTTACATCTCGGATGATGGGGGCTACACCTGGGCCCGGATGCTGAAGGGGCCCCATCACTATGCCATCCTGGACTCCGGGGGCATCCTGGTCGCCATTGAGCACAGCCCTGAGCCCATCAATGTCCTTAAGTATGCCTGAGCTCCCCCGGAGCCGCCAGCTGAGCCCTGTCCCTGCGCATCGGTGCTGAGGCTGCTGTTGGCCGTGGGATTCCCCCGCAGTCTCTCCTGCAGCTGTTCGGAGGCTCGTCACTGGGAGCGGGGGGGAGACCTCCCCTGTGGGCAGACACCGGGCTCCGCCCCGGGCTAGCTGTGCGGCCAGTGCTGTCTGCTCCCCTCTTCGCCTGTGAACGGAGCAGGGGCTGGCAGACGGGTCCCCCTGGGTCCCGGGATCCAGCTCCTCACCAAGCCTTTGCTCTCTAGGTTTTCGACGGACGAAGGCCAGTGTTGGCACAAGTACACTTTCTCCAAGGAGCCCATCTACTTCACTGGCCTGGCCTCGGAGCCCGGAGCCCGCTCTATGAACGTCAGCCTTTGGGGCTACAGAGACTCTTTCTTGTCCCGCACGTGGGTCTCCTACACCATTGACTTCACTCCTCTGCTCAGCAGTAACTGTGAGCTTTGCATGCTGCCTCCTCCCTGTCCCTCCTCGAGGGGGGCGGGTGGGCTGCTGCAGGGCCCGGTGGGGACAGGTGGGGACAGACGGGTTAGCGCAGGAGGTGGGAGTTTCAGTGGAACCCTTTCCGCAGAGTGACTGTGACTCTGCGGTAGCTGCACACGTCCCCCGCCGCTGCCTTTCACACCTGAGCCTGCCGTGGGGTGGAATCGCAGCAAATGGAATCGCCCGACCCCAGGATTCCTGTCAGTCCCTCTTCAGTCTCCTCCTCCCAACGCAGCGCCCGTTCCTGCAGCCTTCGCTCAGGCAGTTTGCTTTCCCTCCCCGGGCCCTCTGGCACCCCTCTGGGTCCTTGCCCCGTTCGGTGCCCAGCGCAGAGAGGGGTGCTGCCGCCCCTCGGCTCATGCAACCGGAAGTTGCTTTTGCTTCTTTGTGATAGCATCACATTGCTGACTCCTGCTGAGGCCGAGACCCACCGCGGCTCCCAGCTCCTCAGCCGTGCTGCGGCCGTTTTGTATTGGTGCGTCGGATCGGGGCTTGCTCCTCTAACTCCCGTTTCTGTGACGTTTCGCTTGGTCGTCTGTAGCCCAGTCCTCCTGTTCCCCGGGATCTCGCTGAGTTTTACCGTTAGCCTCCAAAGTGCTGGCTGCTCCTCAGCTGTGTGTTCTCTCCCCTGCAAATGGGATCTGTTCCCACATGCTGAGATGGTCCCACCGGCCCCAGAACTGATCCCTGGGGAGCCCCCCGGAGTCCCACACCGTTCTGTCGATGGCTGCTCTGCTGGCGGTGGCTTAACCGACTGTTGTCCACTTGCGGGCGGTTCTGCCCAGCTTGCTGCCAGGTCACACGGAGCTGTGGAAGCCTGGCTGAAGTGCAGATCCGCTCTACCTCCGTGTCCCCCGGCCACTGCCCCCGTTACCTCACAGCAGGGAATCCAGCCGGCTGGGCAGGGTTTGTTCCTGGCCACCCTCGCCCCCAGGCATTCGCAAACGGAGGGTTTATCCATTGCTCCGGCAGCCTCCCAGGGATCAAGCGCCAGCTCCTCCTTGGCCCCTTTTTCAAGATGGGCAGCACATCAGCCCTTCTCCTGTGCCCTCTGCTGTCACCGGGCGTTTGCAGCGACTTGCCAGCGGCTCTTCGATCCCTTCAGCCCCCTGGGGGGGCAGAGCATCCGGCCCTGCTGACTGGCATCCATGCAGCTCGGTCAGAGGGTCTGACCCGTTCCTTATCCCGACCTGCGCCCCTGCCCTGTCCAGGGTGACTGACTTTATTAGTGGCCAGCCACATGGTACTTTTGCCGGGAAGACTGAAGTGTAGTAGGCGGGGAGCCCTTTCTTCCGCTGCCAGCTCATCTTCTCCACTGGGCTGCCGGACTACAGCCTCCCTGAGCTGCTGTTGCTAGAGCCCCTCCTCCTTGCCTGGGCTTTCCCGATGTCCCTACCCCCTCGTGCCGTGCCCAGGTCCACGTCCTCAGTGACAGGCCCCCTTCCCTTCTGCACCCTGCCTGGGTGTCACTAGCCCAGCGGGGACGGTCAATCAGTAAGGGGCTAGCTCCTGGGTGGGACGAACGGTCCTCACTCTCGCCCACTCCAGGGCCGCTGCACCTCTGCTTTGTACGTGCAGCAAGAGCTGCCAGGCTCCTACCACGTTTTAAAAGACGGAGCCACCGTGTCTGGGGCCCCGGACCAGC